GGGGGGGGGGGGGGGGGGGGGGGGGGGGATATAACATATTTCTCTCTGTATTGGGGATACATCTTTCTCCTAACGCTGTGCTTGCCGGCTAATGAGTAAAATAATGGACAAGCCTCACACCTCTTCTCGACAGTCGAGTGCCAACAGCTTCAAGCAGGCAGGTTTGCTCAGTATTCTCTGTCCTTTTCGTGGCCTTATGATTTGAGGCATGCTTTGTTTTGGCACAGAAACAGCCTCTGTGGAGAAGCAAACTGCATCACAGCCAAAATAATCGGGATTTCGGTTTGAGTTCCCCAGCTAAAAGACATGCTCGAGAGTAGTTTGCCTAAAAGCAGAAAAATACAAATTACTTTTCATGTCCTCTATCAGAATCTGAGAATGGTAATATTTACAACTTCTCTTAGAAGACAAGAAATAAGCCCCATCGCTTCTCTGTGAAGGACATGGAGAATTGTCTGTAGTCAGAGAAAGTGAAAATACAAAGAGCAAAAGCAGACAAAAGGCACCAGTTTTACCTGTGTCAAGAAACAGGGTTCCTTAAATTAACTGGTGTGTTTCCTAGATAACAATAAATATACAATAAATAAAAACAACCATAAGATTTTGTTTTGAAAATTGGGTATAGCCATGTAGGAAGAATGTAAACTCCCAAAGCATACCAGATTTCTTTTTTTAAAAAGCTCTAATACTGTCAGGGAATAAAATCCTAAATATTCCTGCCTACATAGAGAAACATAATGGTGTTCTTAAATGCAGAACTCTAATGTTACAATTACTCCAGATATGTATTTTTCTATAACTGCAACCATTTATACAGGATATGATGGTGGTGCAGTTTTAAGGTTAAATGTAAAAACCCTTCATTTGGCAGGTGATGACTTTTTGATATTAAAGGCATTTCACTACTTAGAATACCATGCAGACCTGTCCAGCTCAGATCTCCAGCAAACAGCTCCATCTAATCATTCTCATGAGGCAGTTGCTTGGGCCTGATAATGCACGTCTGGCATCAACAGGCCCCTTAAATTACTGTATTTTCTCCTCCAAAGAAATGTTCACCTATTTAAATAATACAGGAGAGCACCTAGGCTTTGACTTGCATTTTCTCAGTGGAATTTCACCTTATGCAGCAGTACACAGTATAACAAACCTGATTAAAATGCAAAAAATTATTTAATAATGTTTCAATTAGTCTTTTCTTACCATGCACAGTGCCTGCTGTTTACAAGCTTCCAGAAATGGAACAATTATAGTCTAATTGTTGTTACGCTGGTATGTCATATGTATTTTTTAAAAGAGAAACTATGAAAGAAAAAGCCCACAACCTTACCTTTTTATTCAGTTGTTTTAAAAGTTATTTCAAGTTTTGAACTGTCAGTTCTGCCTTCTCATAATGCAGTTCTGAGAAATGATTTAATAGTTCTGGATTGGATGTAAAGCATAAGGCCTTATTCTTGCAAATGGACATGCTGGTAAATATTTTAGCCTCTGTAAAGGCTGAGAGATCTGCGTTAGCTTACGTTCTTACAGAAACAGTAAGAATTAAGAACGTTAAGAACAGTAACATTAAGAACGTTGCAGGCTACCCTCATTTTCATCTTTGCTAAAAGACAGGCAGAAAACAGACATGAATAGCTGTAAAGATTTATGGATCTTTTCTTGTGTGATGTTACTCATAAACAGCAAAGTTTGTAATCCATTATTTGCATGGATTTTATACCAAAAATACAGTAATTATTTATTTCCTAATGAATTGTATGCATCAGCCGTATGTCAGAAAATTTTTTAATCAGAATCATCTAAATTTTTTGTTTACTATTAGGACTAGTTTAGAAAAGCTTCTCTTGTAAAAAAATTGTTTCGGTCTGTTAAGCTGCACTGTAAGCCTTACCATTTTCTCTTTGTCAACTAATGCATGAGACTTGCTGGTATGAATTCAGTTTGCTGAAACTGACTGCATTTCTTATGTTTATTAGAAGCATATTTCCATATTATTCTGATCTCTGAAAGAATATATATGATCTAAAGAAAATGTAACAGTTGAGTGTGAGATGCTTGAAAGCTGTTGATTTCCTTTCCTTGGCTGCTGAATTCATAAAAAACATTTTAAAGATGTAGAATTATAATGCGTAAACCTCGGGCAAAAGGTGTGTGTTTCTCTCTCACCTCTTTTCAGTAGTTAATTTGAAAATGAAGTAACTACAATAACTATACATGTAATTAAATTTTACATGATGTAACACCGTGGGGCATTTCTTGACATTTGTTAGTCCTTCTGCTAAATGTACATCCAGTTTGTTTACAGTAAGGAACTCACATCTTAAAGGGTGCTCTAAACTGTACTGTATATTCCTGTTTTTTTCCTGATAGGATTGTTGTACTGCCACTTGGTTTTTGTGAAATAGCATTTGGTTTAATATGTTCATTGATAGGTCAGGGTTTTGGGTTTGGTTTTTTTTTTTGCATTGTTTTTTTTTCAAACCATTGAATTGTCTTTTGTTTTTCTAATATTGCTGGCTTGTCATTAGAAACTTTATGTATTATGTATAAAAAAAAAATTTTTTTAATGCTAAACACACTTCCACTGAGTATCATTAAGCTTTCCAACATTTTGACTATCAATACTTTCAGTTAGTTTTCAGTATACAACTATCTCAGTAGAAAAGTTGTATTTACTCTTTTATTAATAAGACCTCAATTACTTGCAAGTCTTTCTCAAAGTTAAGATTTTAAATATGAGTTTAAGGCTTTTAGTATCTAATGCAGCACTGAAAGTGCATGGAACATACATAGTGTTGTGTACCAGACTAGAACAGCAGAATGCAAGGACTCAAGTAAAGTAACACAGCATTGTTGATCATTTGTGATGTGGCCCTGAAAACAATTTTTTTCATGGTTTTCTATTAAATAAAAAGTTCCTCTAGCTTTTTAGTGTGCTTTCATTATCTTTTTAGAGGCCCTGCTGTTGTTCTAATTGTCAGCTCTGTCATCATAGTGATGAGTGAATTAATCTTTTCAAGGATAGAATGGCTAAAAAGAAAATCTTGTACAATTTTGCTTTTTGTCTTGACATTGCAACAGAATTAGTCTTTTATGTTTTCTCATGCATCTTCCTGGTATTTTAGAATCTTTTAAAGCAAATGCAACAAAATACCACATGCACCAACTCTGAATTTAGAAATAGACTTCTTTTACAATAGTAAATAACTCCCTGCTTACATTCCTGGTAATTCAAAACAGACCGTTTTTTGTTGTAATGTCAGTCTCCTCTGACTTTCTCATTTAAGGCATCTGTTTAACAATGGAACTGTAGAATTTATCTTTTTGTGAAATAACCTTTTCTGATCATATGCAGACTTGCCCTGAAGTGAGTGCCTGCTTGGTATTTAGTTGTCTCTCAAATTACCAAAATGTCTTTCTTGAAGGCTTGTGCAGCAGATCCTGAGAAGCATCCGGCTTATTGAGAGTAAAGGGAAGGAGATTATTTTGTCATCTCTATATTCACATTAATATCATTTTGAAGCAGTAGCTCTCAGTTTTCTACACATCTATTTCCACAGAACACTCTAGATCTGAAAAACAAGCAAAATGCTTTTCCTCCTGTAAGCACACTGCAGATGTGTGATTATTATAGCTTGTGTAGACACGCTTGTGCTAGCTTTAATCTCACTAGTTCATGTTCCAGCAGTAGCAGAGCTATGGTAACATAGTCCTCGGTTAGGAGTATGCAGTCTTGTTTTGTTGTATGTTCGATGCTTACTGAAATTAATTGCCTACTGTGACATCCGTATTTCTGTATTTTAACTGTTTTATTATATGAGGCTAACAAAATTAAGTCTAACTGAAGTATACCTAACATGCTGCAGACATGTCTTCTAATTGCAGTGCAGATGCAGCCTGTAAGGCAGTGAGCCCTACTCTCTCATTCTTTCAAGAGACAATTAGAAAGGTCTGCTCTAGTTTGATAGTTTTAGGAAGACCTTTTACCAGAAATATGCTGGAATCTGGAAGTGCTCAAGCACACTATATGTAGGTGAAATACTAAAACCCAAAAATTATCAAAGAAAGCATAAAAATAATAAAATGGAAGCCTTGTTCCTGCAGTCCAAACCTTTGTGGAGTCCTAGTGAAATCAATTAATCAGTGCTCTGGTGTATTTTATGCATAAGCCCTCATCTTGCAATCAGATCCTTAATGAAGGAATTCTCCTTTCTCACCATGTGTTACTCCTGTTAAGAAATCAACAAACTAATTTTTGGCTAAACAGAGCTAGGAATGTGTTTGCAAAAAACCGGGTAAAAACAGACATGGTGAGTAATAGAGTATTAGTCTGATATCAAACCGATAAGCCAGTAGAAAGGTAGATATGCTTATGGGAAAGGACCTCTGTGTAGCTCATTTCTAAAATCTTCCTACAGAAAACATGGAACATGTTTACATGATAGGGAGCAATTGTTAGCGATGCACAGGAATCAGCAGCTTGTCAAGATATTGGCATTTCACATGCACTGCTGATATTGTGTGGTAATTGTGTAAATTCATTAAATTCAAGTTTCTTTCAGGTGTTTTAAAAATAGCAACATCTAACATGATCCAGAGATGCCAGTGAAGAAATGAATGCCAACAGCAATTTGAACTGTTCACTCAAGATAGGAATTCTTATTTTTGTTGGACATTTTTGTAAAAGTTGCAAAAGATTTTCAGTAAAAGTAGGAGCGCTGAGGAAGCAAGTGATTATGTTATGCCAAATCCTGTTTAGGAGCAAAAGAATAAATTATTATAGGTCTTTGACCTGTGCAAATATATTTCCTTTCACTTTGATCCTCCTTTTGTATTTGAGGATTTTGGATTACTCTTTGTGTAGTGCTTTTATATTTTCAAAAGTGATGTGAAGTTTGTGTGGAGAAGCTGGTGTGCAAGAACATAGCATGTCAGTTTGAATACACAGCCATTCTGCCCAGTCTTCAATGCAGATGTTGTTTGTGTACACGGAGAGCTCAGTCTAAGTTAATAATTAAACTGGACCTAAAGAACAAATGCCATTGAGTGAAAAATTCTGGCTGTGTAGTCCCACTGTTAACCCCTTAGTGAGCTAACTCAGAAGAAAACTTTTTCTTGTAAGGAACCTGGTGGCAGCTAGCCATTAAATCAGTTTAAAAGTGGTGTGAAGTTATAGCTTGGGGCAGTAGTGTGACATGTGTTTGATCTAGCAATGCCAGTTTAAACACAATCTCTAGATATCATATCCTCTCAGTTCTCCTTTCTGCTTCCTCCTTTGCCCTCAGTCCTCACACACACACAGGTTAGCTGTCATTCTTAGGGCAGAGGGGAGTAAAACCAGCAAAGAAGGTTTGTTTTGTTTTGTTTTTAAATACTGTGTTAGGATACCTGTTACCATTTTTGATTTACACAGACCCACCTTGACACAGCAGAGGGGAGTAACACAGTGGTGGGGACAGATGCTAGAGAGTTGTCAATGGCTGGGGCTCCCTCCACCCCCAAAGTCTTATCCTAAACACTTTCCCAGGACTGTCTTCTGTAGAGCAGTTTTCCCCATAGTGTACTTTGTGCCAGTTGGAGTATCGGTGCACTTGCTTCTCCACATGTATTTTTGTGGGCCAGTTTAGTCACTTCTTAAAAATGCACAGCATTACTCTAAAATTTATCCTTTGGCTTGTTCTCAGGAGATGCTTTGGTAAATGCTGGGAGGTACAGAAGTTCCTAAGTAGGTAGTGCAGCTCCCAGGTACTACTGCAGCTGCTGTGCCTACAAGATATGACTATCAGAAATTAAGCAAGTTTGGTGCTTTGCTTCTGCTGAGAGAGTCAGGAAGTAGGTGCCTGACTTGCTCAGGAGTTACTGTACACCCTGCTGGTTGCCCCGACCTTTAAATGTTTAAGCCAGACCATTCACATCAGGCTGCTGTTGTACTGAAATGTGCATTTAGCAAATGTATACTTTTTGGTGGTGGTGTCTGCCTCCACCCCCTGAGATATCACAGTGCACAGGTGAGCACGGAGCATGTGAGTGTTGAAAGGCAGATGTGGGGACTCCTTTCATGGCATACTTCACTGTATTTTCAAGATACAAGTAATGTTTACTAAGTGCTAGTCATGGAGGATTCTGTTTTGAAACATAAAGTGATTTTTTTTTTTTCCTGCTCTCTGGAAAAGGAGATACAGTTTTTCTTGATCGGAAATTATGCTTTGAAATTTTATGCTCATATGTAGGTGATCTGCTTTTGTATTTAAATAATATATCTGTTCCAGGCAACTAGTTTGCAAAAAATAATTTTTTTTTAGGTTTGTATTTTAATCCACATATTTTATTATGATATTTTTTCAGCAGAAGGAAGAAAAGTATTGCTGCGGTGCTGCAAGGCCTCGATTTTTATTGACCAATTACCTCGAGCACAGCAGTTGACATCAGCAGCACAGTTGGTGCTTAAAGTTCACTGGGGCAACAGCTCCCCCAGCCATAAAAATAATTTATATCTATGTGAATACCACTGGCGTATTTTTTTTTTCCCCTCAGCTTGAGAAAGGAAGCCAGGGCAAGCACAAGGTGCTTCCTGCTTGCCTGCATGCACACAGGCTTTGAAGGGGCAGCAGGAGTGGGGATGGGGATGTGTTTGGGGATGGATATCCAGGTGGTGGCTCCTCCGCTGGTGCTCCCGCCTTGCCCCTCGCAGCCCTCCGGCATCTGTCGCCTGCAGGCTTAGATTGCACACCACTACTGCTGAGATCATCGTTTTAGGGAGAGATGGGAAGTGCCCGTGTTTCGGCACAGCGTGCCTTGCCGCTTAGTTTAACATAGGTGTTAGGAGGTGGTGAGGGCTTTGTGTCTTAGCTTGGGGCGGGGGGCGGTGTGTTGGTATTTGGAATGCAACAGGTGGGGTCTGTTGCCAAAAGGAGGTAGGTCCCTGCTGTGTACCTCGGTGCGGTTGGGCTCCTGCTATACTGCAAAGTCGTCAAACAGGTAGTTTTCCTGGGAACGCTTTGTTTGGGAAAGAACACCGAAGAGTTCTGGATTACAGAAACACTGCTGAGCAAAAAGCCTTAATCTTTGTGTGCCTTGTTGCTTAACTCCAGAGAGTAATAATATCTTGTTCATTAATATTTAAAAGAAGATTTGGTTCATTTTAAACCATTTAAAGTTGTTCTGTTGACAGGTAATACTTAAGATTTTCAGCAGAAAAGTGTGTGTTTGTAAAAGCTTTACATTTTGTTGCATTTCAGATCGCCTTTATTTTGCAATTCTCTGCCAAAAACCAAAGAGTGGAGCTGCAAATACCCATTATTTCTGCACAGATGATGAACTTGTATATGAGAAGTAAGTACAGATTTACTTTTTCAATTTTTTTTTTTTTCTGAAATAAATTAGTCAGAACAACAGCAATGACAAACCAGTCTGACTGACATTCTGTTTTTAAATGTAACTGAGGGAAACATACCGTTCCCATTATAGAACTAATTACACGAGTTTGGTCCTCTCAGGCTTCTCTGCCATGATGATTTATATGTCTTATAATGTTTTTTTGGCTTCCCATCAGGGTTTCTTAAAAATCTTTTCAAAGCAGAAGTTTTCACTGTACCCATTCTTGTTAGAAGACACAGGAACATGATGCAAAAATATATATTCAGAAGTGCACAGTGGACTGCTGAGCTGAAGGGGATGTCTTTGGTTGCTTGAGTATTAAGTGGAATGTCTAAACTTCCTAGAATAAGAGAAAAAACTGACAAAATCAATTCAAGCCTTTATGAACTGACAATGGATATATTATTTCCCATGTAGTGAACAACATATGCCTTTGTATGTGATCTGCATTACTGCTAATTCTTTAAATATTTCTGACCAAGAGTGTGCTTGCTGGTTTTGAAAGTACTAATCAATCTTTATTCTCTGTGTTCACTTTTGTCTAGCAATATTAATTACCTTCTCTTAAAGTAAAGCTTTTGGGTTTTTCTTAAAATAGTTTCTAAACTGGTGTCACAGAGTGATACAGTGAGAATTTTTCAGGCCTTTGAGTATTCCAGTTTGCTTTTGAGTGGTGGTGTGTGGAAAACGAAGAAGAAAGTTTTACTCCCTGTGTAAAGATGACAAAACTTAATTCCAACAAAATAATATGTATGTAAGAAGGCATTCTTGTTTTTAGAACGATGCACATATATCACGCGTATTATTACTCCTTGCTTTGTGCATCTGATTAACTAAAAAAAGGCATTTACAGAGGTTATGTACAATTTTTTGCCTTTCTCCCACCAGCTTCTATGCAGACTTTGGGCCACTCAATCTTGCAATGGTCTACAGATACTGCTGCAAGCTAAATAAGAAATTAAAGGTAACACCTGTTTTTTTATTCAATATTCTTGACTTTTTAAAGAACAAAACCAAATGGGCCGAAAGTTTTTTTGCTCAGGTGCTTTCCTGGGTTCCTAATCCAGCTAAGTTTTGAATATAAATGCTGAGTTTTATCAAGGTGAATTTAGGGCAAAGAAGGATCAGGAGAGAAAACTCACTTTTAAGATCCAGAAGATGCACCACTGTGGCAATAACTGATGTTAAACTCCTAAAAGATCAGTTGCTAAATGGGAACAGACATCTTTAGATTAAAAGCTCCCCCCCTGGCATTCAGTCTTCTTGGCAATCTGCCAGTGTGGAGTGTGCTTGAGGGTGCAATGCAACACATTTTTATTTGAGATAGTTTTTGTTTGACTTAGGCTTCTCATCTGGTCCTGACATCTCTTTGGTAAGAAGAAACATTTGATCTTTGATAGTGTTTATGACATTGTCCTGAAAGAGACTGCTGTGCTCCTATTGCAAATTATCTTCTCTGAGGGGTGCTCAGCAGTTTTCAGGATTAGGATCTTGATAGAGCATAGTGTCTTTAAAACAGATATTTCTCTATTAATTAACATAGTTAGTTGACCTCTAACAGATGTTGGAGTATAAAACATATTAGGCAGATTAAAAAAGCTTATTAGCATTAATGTGAATCACAGTTTACCTCTTCAAAACTGCTTAGATGTTGAAACTGCCACTGAACTGTGAAAACTGGTAAGTATGCAGAATATTATAGTTTTAACAGATACCTTTTTTTTTTTTAATGCCTTGATGTCTGTCACTGATATTAGTTTGCATAATTCAGACTTGCTTTGTCCCTGTGGCACTATGAACAGGTTTTCTGGAGATGAGATTCTCTGATTTTTGTTTACAGGATGCTCTGAAGCAACACGAGTCTATATTATAATCCCTTTGAGTATCTTGAGTTTGATACTGGAGAGTCGTGTTAGTGTTAATGAGAAAATAGTACTGCTCGTGATCTGGGGTTTATTTGTCTTGAGTGCATTGAATAGCATTTGAACAAGTAACATTGCTATTTAAATAGTGACATTTTATGATGGCTTAGCAGTTGATCAAAGTATACAGTTTCATGCACATCAAAATTTGTTTTGAGGGCCAGTTAGAGGATATTTTTTGCTGCCACTACAGATATGTGGCAATGCCAAGTAGAGATGAAATCTTATATGCCAAGCTGAGATGAAATTTTAAGATGTTTATTGTAAAGTTTAGAAATATTTTCAAAATATTTTAATCTAATATTAATTAATCTGTATTTTTCCAGTAGTTCTGATCCTTAGAAACAACTACTAGTTAATTTATCTAGTCAGGTTTTCTGTAAGAATAAAAGAATTCTAAATTCTGTTTTCAAAACCATTGTAACTTTAATATGCTCATGATGTTTTTGAGAATGCCACTTTGGATTTACTTACCGTTAATGCCTATCTGCTACATAGGGCTTGAAGTCAGAAATACTAAATGCATTTAAGGAGAAAAAGAAAGATTACTGTAATTTGTATCAAACGTTATTGCAGCTGGATACTGGGAAAATAGTGGAACATCTAGGCAGGGATTCAACAGTCTTCCAAAGCTTATAAGAGACTAGTCTACAATGTACGTGGTCCTCTGAATACAGGTGAGAGAAAGTTGGTAAAAGACCCCTGTGTTCCTCTAATTTTATAAAAGAAGGCATGAAAACTCTAAAATACAAAATCATAATCTTGTTCATTTCTTGATACAGTCATTTTCATTGATAAGGAAGAAAATAATTCATTATACTGGCTTTGATCAGAAAAAACAAGCAAATGCTGCATTCCTCATAGGCTCCTACGCAGTAAGTATTTAAATTTTTCCATTACATCGGCTTGCTAAGTGTGTTCACTTTTTCATATTCAATTTTTAAAACAGCAAGATAAGAACAATTATTTTCTCTTGAATAATCTTCCTACTCATGTATTTTATAGTAAGGTACCACATACTAAGACAGTTTTTAAAGTCTCGCAGGTGAATGAAGTTGTGTTGGTTTTGGTTTATTTCTTTTCTACTGCAGTCTGTGCTCCTAAGAAATAAGAGCACCACTGAAATAAAAAATCTTTATATTTTAATTTACAAATATGTTGATGTTTTTCCTTTCCCCTATCCACATATACTCTCTTTTTTCTTTTCTAAAATAGAGAAATAGTGTCTTCCACAAAGTACAGTATATCATTTCCCATTTCATGCACATTTAAATATACTTGTTCTTTCCCAGCTGCTGCTTTTCTAATGTAAGGTGATCTCTTCAGTTAGCCTAGGAGAAGGAGTGAGATCATGTGGTAGGCTTAGAGCCAGTATAAAGCCTGGGAATATACAAAGTGGCTGGAAATGTACTTAGCCAGGTTCCTGACTGCAGAAGGGAAGATGACTGGCTTTACTCCACAACTGCAGTGTGTTTGGTACACAAAAGTGTAGTCAAGTAATAAAATGCTGAATGCTTCAGAATGAACATGTGATGTGCCATATTCATGTTTTGCTTTGGCTTGTAACACAGCTTCATTGTAACTTTCTTGTTTACTGAGTAATAAAATGAAGTGAGAACCTATGCGGTTTTTGATGTGGGAGATTTGAGGGGTTAAAGTTCGTGTACCCTAAGGTCATTCCATTTATTAGCTGTAACACTATACAGTACTTGCCCTGATGCTAGCTCCTTGCTGCCTCTCTACATCATGCATGAGGTGCATTCCTGGCTCCCTAGGTTTTCTCTGTTGTCTATTTTCTACAGTACTTAATAAAAATAAAGAACTAGATATTAAAACATATCGCCCTTCGTATTTGAAACACAGTCATTTAGGAATGTTGCTGTAAACCTTTGCATTCTTAAACCACATGGAAACTGGCAATGTGACTTACCAAACTTGTTTTCAGTTAAGGCATTGTGTTGGCAAAACAGCTGCAACTTTTAGGAAAACTACTTCCTAGTGACTTAACCATGATGGAGGCTCAGAAAGCAAGAGGGGGACTGGCTTCAGTTATCAGCCATTATTTGGAGGGAAATGAGTTTTGTTTTTCCCTAAACTTTTGTTCTGAATATATGTGGTAGAACTGTGCAGCATAGCAGCTGACATTTTGAGCAGAATCCATGGTACAGAACATTAATAGCAAAACAATCTAATACAAAATACTGTGGTTTACTATGTAAAGTATACAAAAACCTGACACAAACCTGATCATCTAGTAGCCTTGCCATGTTGCAATAACAACATGCAATTGAAGGGGAATGCTTGGGCAGGCTTGAGTAAACCTCTAAAATGTATCTGTATGGATTATGACAGTCCAAAGCATGGTAATTAAAAATGGAGGCTGTTGGACAGAGGAGTAGGCATTTTTCTGTTCAGAGAACCGTGGTGAAGGAGGTGGGAGTTGCAGAGTATGGAAAGGATGTTACAGATCCAGCTGAAGTATGGCATGAGATCATGACGTACTAGGCAATGCATGTGGGAGGGTTAGTTGCAGATAGCTGACATATGGCAGAAAGAGACTACTGAAAATCACTGGTAATTTTCAGAGTTCAGAGACTCGTGCTTACGTTATTAGGTACAAGTTGAATGTTTCAGTGGTTTCCCTTAAACACCAATGGCAAACAGAAGCACTAGGTGAGTGTCAGTCCCCTCCTTGAATGAGGGCATGTCTGTCTTGCATAATCCCACGTCCTAGATGGTGAGGTAGCTCTAGCTAGATGCTGATTTTCTTTCCAGAGCAACACGCTTTGGTACTGCTTTTTCTATAAAGTAGGGTACAGTTTCTTCCCAGATCGATGTGAGAGGCATTCCAGTGAAGAAAGATCACAGAACAAAGACTGTTCCCCCTCTGGCACCCTTTAATGATCTTTCATGAAGAGGCAGGCTTAATTACAGCACTCACTGCTGAAGTGTTACAGGTCCCACGTTTCTGCTTTCTACAGGGAGAATTGGATTGTTCTCTATGAGGCAAACAGTAGTATAGGATCTGTTCAGAATGCATGATAAATATATGTTTATAAGCATATTTCCTGACTGAAATAATATTGAGGCCTTCTTTATTTAGAACATATGCAAGCTTAAGCATCCACCTGCTACTTCAGTTCAGAGTGCTTTGCTTTTTGATGAAGAAGGATCCATCCAGCTATTGGTCAAAACTAAGAAGCTTTTCTGTAATTTTAGGTAATCAGACCATGTCCTGTTGGTATTGCTCTTTGCTGCTTGAACTGAGTATTGTCATTTAATTTTTGATCCCTTACAGTGTAAGTGGTAGGTTGCCACTGTATTTTATTTTCTGTGGGTTGAATGTGTTTTCTCATTTGATTTTGGTTTTTTAGCTTCCTGGTGGGTTCCCATTTCAATAGTTTACCTTAGATTGTGGAACTGCATGGCAGTGCATCAGGTTGGAGGAGTTCAGATTGCAAGACCAAGGAAGTAGAAAGGGAAAGTAGCCTTTGCAGAGTTAGTCATGAAAATAATACTTGTCTGTGCATGTTTTAAGGCCTTTGATAACTTAAGCATAGTTTAGGTGCAAGGTTCTCTGTATATACAGGTTCTTTAAGTTACTTGTTAGGAATAAGAGGCTGCCAGCTTTTCAGGAATAGCACAGGCACCGTAAGTGTATGTGCTTTCTGATTTTGTTCTCTTTTTTTAACACAGTCACATTTTAACTGTAACACTGTAGTGAACTGTATATCATAAGTTCTCTGGAACTTGCATGTCCTCATAAACTTCCACATCTATCATTTTAAGGACTTGTTGACCTTAAATTTATATTCTTAAACAGAATATTATTTAGCTTCTGCTTCAATGCATATATTAGCATGGTTTATTGTTCAACATCTTTTGTTTAAATATATATATGTGTACATATATCATGTGGGGATATGATAATCTTTACTACTAAGACAATTATGAAAGTCTTCATTAACTGTGGTGAAGTGTAAAGGCAGCTGTTTGTGTTCTTGTTACAGGCAAAGTCTGTTCCCAGTATTTTCTTCACAGTTGGTCTGTTTTAATGTTTCCGCCCCTCCCCTTCATCTAACTTGTCTTTCCTTCCTCTTCAGTGGAGATAGTTTCTGAACTCTCCAGGCTACACACTTCTTTCTCCCCCCTCCCACATCTGCTGCTTCCTTCCAGGTGTACTTTCATGTGACATCACAGCCTAACTCAAGCTACAGACCTCTTTAGTATAACATGGCCTTAAAAGCGAAGAACAAAGTTTTCAAATAGGTTGTTATATATGTAGTTTTAGAATAAAATATGATTTTTTAGTGTAAATCTTAACAATTTAGATCTTAACTTCTTTATTGTTCATCTTCCATCTATTTTGTTTCTGTATTTTGTTTCATTTTTACTGATGTTATACTGCATAATGGGAATAATGTTTTTCTGTGTAGATTAGCATAAATTTGGCACATTCTGCCAAAAAAGAGTAGCCAGAATTCGGTGTGTTGGGGTTGAATGTTTACACTTTATTTGGGCAGAGGGGGTGAGGGGAAAGAAGGGAGGGGGGAAAAAAACCATCTTTTTTCTTCACCTTTTAAAGAAAAATTGCTTTTCCTCGGAAGCTATCTGCACTGTTCAGGCCTTACCACTCTACCAAAGCAGCAGTGATCTTCTGAGTTGATCTCTACAGTGGCTTCTCTTGATTTTCGCCAGGATCTTGACTGTGGGTGAGGAAAGTCTGCTTCTTCCATCATTGCTCCTTCCATACTAAGAAAGAATATGAACCCTCTGTGCCCTGTTCACCCAATTCCCAAGCTCCCCCCTTTCCCCTTAGGTTCATTAACTTAGTAACAGTATTTTTTTTCTCAGGCCTGGCATTAATTATGTACTTGGAGGGTGACCCTCCGAGGGTACCGCCCCATGAACTGCTGTAATTCAGGTCACCTTCTCCAGGACTCATCTCTGTACTTTGTCTATTTTCTCATCTTCTTTCTTCAGGGTAAGCAGCGTTTCCTTCACCCATTCTGATCTGCAGTACTGTTTTTTTTGCCTTTTCAATTTGTTAGTGTCCTTTCTAGCTGTGGACCTAATGCTGGGCAGAAGCTGAAGATTGCACTATCAGCACCTGTTTGTGTGATGTTGAACCACTTTGTTCTTAACATCTCATTTGCAAACTATCTCTGACCAAGCCGTGGGAAAGCAGGCAGACCTGTTCGTTTAGTGGTCCAGACAGAGGGGCAGTAAATGGGTAACTGCAACAGTGCTCAAATTACAGGTGGGTAAACCGAGTTTACCTTCAGCTACATTTTGGTAAGAGGTGTTTGTGCTTGACAAGTCACAGAGACGAGCTGGACAAGAGGCTTGATTTGTGCTTGTGTCCTCTAAAAAGCTACCTTCTCTGAGTTGTGTTTGGAAAATTGTGATTACTCTTCATGACAGCAGCTTCTCCCTGAGGTTTGTACTAGGTTCTTCCTCATGATGTTCTTGCCAGACCACTTGTCTCCATAGCAGAGGAAGGGTTGCTCTTTGTGAGTCCCTCACTATAGTACTAGCTTGCTTTCCCAGCTGTCCTAAAGTACTGATGTGCCCAGCCCAGTCAAGTTCCCAGCTAATAGGGTTTTCTATAATTCCCTTCTCCTGTTGAAAAGGTAACTGGAGGTTTCTTGCTTTTGTTCATGATGAACAAAGAGTTCATCAGTTATTCCCTCTCTGCCACTTTTATCCACTTAATGACTGTTTCTGCTAATGAAGGGACTGTTGGCCACGTGCATTTCTTCAGTACACCACAATTCCATACAGGAAGCTTTTTATTCTAATATATTTCTATTTTAATTTTGTTACATATTTCTATTTTAATCTGTATTTAACTTTTTTTTTTCTAAGCGATATT